CCACTATGGCGTTGCCCAGTGCTTTCATCATGCCCATCCTCCTCTGCAGCCTGGGCCCCTACCTTGCTGCTGCCCACAGCCCCCCAGGTAAGGGGACACATGGGCCCTGGGCGGGGGGGATACTGAGGAATGTGGTGGGGCTGAGGGATGTCGCTCCCTGGTGATGGAGGGTGAGGAGGACAGGAGGCTGTGTGGGCCAGCAAGCTGTTGGAGCATATATCAGAGACCACATGACCCCCAAATGTGCCCCAGGACCCCCAACACCTGCATGGCCCCTTGCAGTTGGGCTGCTAGGAGAGCCAGTCTGTGATAGGGAGCCCTGTTGGATGTCTTTGCTCCTGCCCCAGCACTGGAGCATCACTGGCACCACCAGCCCCATGGCTACCAGCCCTGTGACTCTCCTGGCCACTGCTCTCTCTACAGCCCTGCAAGCAGCACTGCCAGGAGCAGGCCATGGAGATCTTCTGTGGCAGGCCAGGCAGGGGGCAGCAGCAGGATGCAGTGTGCAGATCCCATCTGCCCTGTTCTGAGGCTGGGCAGAGAGCAGAAACAGGACATGATACGCAGATCCTGTCAGCCCAGGAAAGCCCAACTCTGGCTTTCTCCTGCTCCTGCTGGGGATGAGTCCAAAGCTAGGCCTATGGGTTTGGATCTTGGAAGGGATCAGGTGTCCCATTGCCTGATTTTTAGGGGGGAAAAAATCCCATTTTCTGGGAGCCTCCAGAACAGTTGTCAGCCACCAGCAAGGGCTCTGCAAGGCACATCAATCCATCAGATCAGCAAGCTGCGCCAGCAGCTGCCAGAGTGGAGTGCAATACCCAGTGTGGGGACTAGCACCACTCGGTGGCCCTGCAGCCCCCAGCCAGCCCAGGATGTGGCCCTCGGCTGCATGGGCAGGACCACAGCTGGCACAGTGTGGTGGAAGAAGGGAGTGGGAGGAACTAGTGTCAGTGCCTGGAGTGGTTGCTCAGCCTCCCGGGGCTCAGCGATGTTTTCTGCAGAGATCAAACTGCAGGGGTTCAGCCCCTGGTCCCATGGCAGAGGGGCTGCAGTGAGGAGCAAAGCCCAGCATAGCCCCCATCACTCAGACAAAGGGATGCGTGGGCACCTGGAAGGACCCAAAAGGGTAAGAGTGAGATTAATTTAGCCAGAACAGAGACATCAGGCACAAATCCTGAAAAAAACCTCCAATTTTCTCACAGGACAAACAACTTGGGTTGACAGGGAGGGGTTTCCATCCGGTCCCACAGTGCCAGAAGATGCAAACAGCAGCTGCCGGGTGACTAAGGGGAGCGAATGGAAGAATTAGGGTGAAACACCACATCCACAGCATGAAGAGCCAAAAGCACAGATGCGGGGCGGAATATGTGCTTGGCCATCAGTCCCTCAGAGGAAGACATGGGGGTGCTAGTAGCCAAGGCAGCATGGGCACAGAATGTGTGAATGGGGTGGTAGGGGCTTGGCATTGCAGGCAGACTGCACTGCATCTCTGCACTACAGCTCTGCTGGGAAGAGCTGGGCTTGTCTGGCACACATGGAAGAAGACTGATGGGGATGTGCAGGGACCCCTGGCATGTGCCCTGTCTCTGTGGTGCACCTCTGGGCCCTGGCACAGCCATCCACCACCATGGTGCACAGTGGTGTCTGTTCCTTGCAGAGGTGGACTGCGTCCTCTTCAACGAGGAGTACATGACCTGCACGTGGGGTACCAGAGAGACGCTTACAGCCAACTACTCCCTCTACTACTGGTAGGTGCCCCTGACTCACAGCCAGCTCTGCAGAAGGGTGTCCAGCAATCTCTATATGGGAGGCTCCTGCCAGTATTGCTGGTCCCAGCAACAGCCACCTTCTCTTCCCCAAGCCCAGGATGGGGGAGACTCTGTCTCTGGGGCACGTGACATAGGATGTGCTGGGGAGAGAGGTCCCTCACTGGGACTGGGGGGTTCATGGTCTTGGAGAGTCCTGGTAACTCACTGTGGCACAGGTATGAAAACAGATCCCCTGTGACAGAATGCAAGCACTACCTGCAGGACCAGGGCATCAGCTTTGGGTGCCACTTCAGCCAGACTGAGATCATCCAGTTCCAGCCTTTCCATGTTCTCATTAATGCCAGCCTTGGTGGAAGGACCCTGGACATCACCAACAAGAGCATGGAGCTGCAGGACCGGGGTACAGACTGGTTGGGGTCACCCCCTCTCCTCAGTGGGGCTGCTGTGAGGCAGAAGTGGGGCTGTGGGTCCCCAGGGCTGACCCATTACATCCCGTCTGGTGGCAGGGCCACCAAGACATGGGGACGGTACTTACTGGGCATCATTTGTGCCCTACAGTGAAACCGGAAGCACCTGTCAACCTGACCATTCGAAACATGAGCAGCAACCAGCTGCAGCTGAGCTGGACCTCCCCTTACCCCAAAGCCCATTGCCTGGAGCACACTGTCAAGTACAAGAGCAACAAGGACACCAGCTGGACGGTGAGAGCTCCCAAATACAGCACCCTCGTGGTTATGCCTGGAAACGAGCTGTGCGCCAGCCTCCATGGGTGTGCTGGCCCTCATCGTGTGGCCCATGTCTCTTTGCAGGAGCACTCAGTGCAAGGAGATGTCTTCTCGTTCCCCAGTGTGGACTACGAGAAGTACTACACCTTCTATGTGCGCAGCAAGATTAACAAATATTGTGGTACCACTCAGCTCTGGAGTGAGTGGAGCATCCCCGTGGTCTGGGGCAGCAACTCCACCAGCAAAGGTAGGTCGTCGGGGCTGTGGCTGTGGCATGGTGGGGATCAGCAGGTAAGGAATGAAAAAGTATGTGGAAAACTGGCCTGAGGCAGCAGCTGTAGGAGTGTGACCCATCTGGGCACCTGGGGTGCAGGCAGCAGCATCAGCCCCTGCATCCTTGGCACTTCTGGAAGACAAACACTCCCTGCCAATGGGACCTGCTGACTTTTGTTAGAGGTTTCTTAGCCCTGGAGGGCTGCTCTGGCATGGCTGGTCCAGGACAGGGTCACTAGGGACAGTTGTGGTGACAGTGAAGCAGTGCTTGGGGACAGGCCCCTTCTCCATCCTCAGTTCCCTGCTAAGGCCTGCCATGGACAATGCCATGGCCACCCACAAAGGGCCACCAGCATGCCCACCCCATAGCCATGGTGGTACATTGGCTGGGGTCCATGTCACCCCGACTCTTTCCAGGTGCAGTGGAGGAGCAGCTGCACTGGTTCTGGATCCACACAGTCTTGATCCCCATCGCCACTTGCCTGATCTTGCTGGTCTTTGTTCTGCTGGTGCGCATGGAAAGGTGAGCATGGGGGCTAGTAGTGGGCAGCAGCACTGGGGCCCTTCCCCTCTGACAGGTCTCTCCTGTGCAGGGTGTGGATCATCCTCATGCCCCAAATTCCCAACCCCAGCAAGAACTTTGATGAGCTCTTCATCACCCATAACGGCAACTTCCAGGTAAGGTGACTGTGGGCAGCTATGCTGGGGGTTCACTCCATGCCTTGCAAGCTTGGGGCTGGATTCAGTGACAGCTCCTCTTAACCTCTCTTTGCACCCTGGAGGAATGGGCTGGAGTTCCCAAAGACATCATGGAGAGCTTCAAGCCCAACTATAGTGAGAACGTCTGCTATGTGAGCGAGCTGTCACCCAAGGACAGCTACGAGTCTCTTTGGGAGAGCAGCAACCACCCGCCACCTTTGATGCCCACGGCCCCAGCCGACTTTTGTGAGCGCAGCCCCTACAAGAACAGCTATGTGGGATTGTGACACGCTCCTGCAACCCCGTATCCTGCATGCTCTGCACCCCCACTGCCTAAAAGCCCACCATTCCCTGGGCCTCGTTCTCTGCTCCCACCCTGTCTCTGCCAAATGTCCAGGACCCCCAGCCCTACTTCCTGCCACAGCCATACTCAGCCCCCTGCAACATGGCTGCACTGCACTGCACTGCAGGGTGCTGGGTGTGCTGGGTGGTGCAGTGAACAGTGCATAGAGTGCAGTGTGTAGCACACCGAGTGCACAATTTGTTGCATGCATGTGATGCATTGGGTGCACTGGGTTCAGCTCTGTTAGTGTTGCAGCACCATGGGCGCCCTGCAGGGTGTGCTGGCACCTGTCCTGTCCTTGGAGTGTCCATAAACTTGCTTTTTGTATTTCATCCGTGGCTATGTGGTTGTTCCTGTGTCCTGCCTGGGCGAGCTCTCACACCAAGCCACCGCATCACCCCTAGCCCCAAGCGTTGCTATCCGCGGGACACTGGGCAAACCAGTTGTTCTCCCTGGGCCGCACCACATTTTCCTCCACAGTAAGGAGATGCAGTGCTGGGGCTCAGCCCGGCTTGCTCAGTGGGCTCTGAGGGACTCCCTGGCAGAGTCCCATGCCACGTCCATCCCTGACCTCACAAACATTGCGGGGGATCCAGCCCCGCTGCCCCAGGCTCTCTGTGGCAACATGTTTGTCCGCATCAAGTATGGGGGTGAAATGCCCTCCTGACCACCCTGCTCCCCGGGCATGCTAGGGAAGTGCCATGGCCTCGCCTCTGGGCTCTGTGGCTGCTGCCAGGGAAGCCTGCTGCCCTCAGCCACTGCTGGTCTCCCTGCAGATGACCAGAGCTTTCTGGCCAATACCAATTGTCCTGCAGCTGCTCTCCTACTTGAGGAGGATGGCAGGGGTCCTTGACACTGCTGAGCGAAAGCTATGGGGCTGCAGCTCCACCCCTCACCTTGACGGCAGCACCAGTGCTTGGTTTGCCACAATGGCTCCCCAAGGCATGGATGCAGCAGTGAGGTAGGGGGTCCCCAGCTCAGCACACTGGCAGCCCACAAGCTGCTCACCCACTTCTCCAGCAGTCATTGACCTGTATGAGAAGTTGGGCACCCCTAAGCTGCTGTTCCAGGTGACCAGGCACAGCAAGAAGGCCAGCGAGTTCCTGCAGGCATGCAGCATCTACTGTGTGTGCAGGGTGGAATCTAGAATACCTAGTAGGTGTCCAGGCAAGTGGAGCCCCCCCGGTCCCTGGGGGTCCCAGCACTGCACAGGGCAGTGAGGCACAGCAGGCAGGAGTGACTGCGGGGCCATCCCACAGGGACTGAAAACGAGCCTGTATGCTGGTCCTTCATAGCCCTCCTGGAGCACCCCAGCCTAGCGCTGACAGGTGGGCAAAGGAAGAGGGATGGGGAGCAGTCAGGCAGGTGGGCAGAGATCTGGAGGCCCAGCCCTGGAGCCAGGGGCTGCTGTGGAGCTCTAGCCTCAACTCTGGTGGCAGATACCCTGCTGCTGCAGGGTGAATACCTGCACAGGAGGCAGACCAGTGCCTGGAAGATGCCAGAGGAGAGGATGCCCAGCATGGAGACACTGCCCTCCATGGTGCAAGGCAGTGGTAAGGGGTTGCTAGTGGTCCCTAGGGTGGCTAGTAGGGCCTTCCCCACCTTCACCAGGGCCTCCTCTGCCCTGGGGCAGGAGGACAGTGTCAACCACAGGCCAGCCCTGGCCAGGGGACTTTCTGACCTGTGTGGCCTCTAGCACTTCATGGGCACATGGCTCATTGCAGGAGCTGCCCTGTACCCATGCATGCTGTGCCCATACCCTGTCCACCTTCTGCCCCACTGTCTTGTCCCCACATCTGCTGTTCCTCATGCCCAATTGCCCCATCCCCATGCTTGTGGTCCCCACACCTCATCACCCCCATGCCCTGCTGTCTGATTGCCATGCCTGCTGGCTCCACATGTCTTCACCATTATGGGTCACTTCTCTGCCCCCATGCCTGCTGTCCCCACGTCCCAGCACTCTCGAGGTCCAATGCTCTGCCCTATCACCTCTGTCACCACATCCTCGTGCCCTATTGTCCTCATGCCCCTCAACCATCCTTGCTGCAATCCCCAGCGTCACGCCTCTCTGCTTAGGGGAAGGCGTTGGGGTGAGGCCCAGGCAGAGTGGTGACAGAGGGGACTCAACGCAAGGCAGTTTCATCCTTCAGAGCGCAGCCGGGGTCCGGCCAGCGAGTCAGGCAGCACTAAAGGTCAATAAAGGCTTGGGGCGACACCACCACACGTTGCCCGCTGCCCGGCGGCGCTCGCTAGCAAA